GTGTGTGTGTGGTGTATGTGTGTGTGTGGTGTGTGTGTGTGTGTGTGGTGTGTGTGTGTGTGTGTACATGTACTGGGGCTTGAGCTCAGGGCCTAGGCACTGTTTCTTAGATTTTTCACTCAAGGCTCACACTCTACCACTAGAGCCACAGCTCCACTTCTGGCTTGTTTTGTTTTGTTTTGTTTGGGTGGATAATTGGATAACAAGAGTCTCACAGACTTTCCTGTGCAGGATGGGCTGAGAATCTCCATCCTCAGATCTCAGTCTCCTTTTAATATCCTATGACTCCCCCTAGCCTTGAATAGGCTAAGCAGAGTTTGCCAAGGCTCTCTCTTTTTTATCATTATCATTAAGTAGTTGTCCAGAGGTGATGCCATTTAACAAAGCAGTTTCTGAGTACAGTGCATCTCCACCAATGTCACCCCTTTCAACATTCTCACCCATCCCTCCCAACCCACCGCTTCCCTCACTTCGCTGAATATGCATTGCGTTCCTGACTGCATTCTCCCCCTGCTTCTCTCCACTGGTCTACGCTTCTCCCCTTCATCCCACCACACCCCTTTCACACAGTCAGAGTAAGTAAGAATCTTCAGCACAAACTTTCGCCCCCTAGAATGGAAGAAATAGGGAAACATCTCCCTTGCCCCATCCCCTGGCGGATCCATCTCTCTTCTCCATCTCTTCAGGTCAAGGTCAACAGTTCTCAGGAAGCACAGCAGTCTTTGCTGCAGGAAAAGCTGCGGGAGCACCTGGTGGAAAAGGAGAAGCTGAATGAGGAGAAGCTAGAGCAGGAGGAGAAGCTGAAAACCAAGATCCGGTTTCTGCAGGAAGAGAAGGCAGTAAGACAGTCTCTGTCACTTCCTGCTCTACTGGACCTTCCCAAAGGGGAGGGGGGTGCTGAGGGCCTGGGCTGGAGGCGAGGAGGCAGCTCAGCAGCTCCCGGTCAGTGCTGTGGCTTTTCACCAGTTCAAGAGAATGAATAATTTGAGAAGGTTGTGTGTAAATCTTAAATGGGAAAACTCACAGCAAATGCCGGGCATCACTGGCTCATGCCTGTAATCCTCACTACTCAGGAAGCTGAGCTCTGAGGATCATAGTTCAAAGCCAGGCCTGGTAGGAAATTCTGGGAGACTCTTATCTCCAGCTAACCACCCAAAAGCCAGAAATGGAGATGTGGCTCAAGGGGTAGAGCACCAGCCTTGAGCGAAAAGCGAACAGATCGCACCCAGGCCCTGAGTTCAAGCCCTAGGACAGGTTCCCAAGCCTGCTTTAGAACTCGGGCTTGAGCATTAAGTGGGCTTGTGCAACTTCTCCCCAGTTGGGCATTAAAGCTCTGACTTCTGACCTGCTAAGTGGGGCAGAGGGCTGTCACTGTGAGAAGAGCCCCACATTCATTAGACTCAGTGCGGGAGAGCCAGTGCCATCCCCATGGTAAAGCTAGAGAAACAGGCTCTGTCCTTAGAGTCTTGCTTACCGGGTTCTTCAGCCAAGAAGGATCCAAGGCCCCTGCCACTTGCTCCAAACCCCTGGACATGAGCAGTCCCAGGCAGAGCTGGCAGAGACCCGAGTCCTGCCATGGTCACCAGGGCTGACCGACACACGTCCTTGACGTGCAGACCCTGGAGGACATTATTTCTCAAGAGAAAAGCAGAGGGAAGGAGGCCTTGGAGAAGGAGCAGCTGAGGGTCCGAGAGCTGGAGAGCCGCCTGGCCCACCACAAGGTACCCAGTCGGGGAAGTAGAGTCAGCCTGAGCCCCAGTCCAGGCCCCAGAGCTGGATGGGATCCAGGAAGGGTCTCCCCTGGACCTACCCACCCTAGAACCCAGCACAGCTTTGCTGCCCCAGCCCTCCCCGGGGCGTGGGGAGGAGCGGAGGGTGGACGGCTGGAACTGGCAGAGTCACCTCCTGCCCTGGCAACCGTGTTGTGTTCAGCAAGGGCTGTTGTCCCGCAGGCTCTGGAGAACAGTGTCGCTCAGGAGAGAAGCAGAGCGAAGGAGGCGCTGGAGGCGGCTGAGGACAGAGTCCAGGAGCTGGAGAGCCGCCTGGCCTACCAGCAGGAGGTAAGCGGCTGGCCTGTGGGGGTGGGGGGAGCCCCATGGAAGTAAGCTGGGAACTACAGGGGAGGGGGGGAAAGGTGTGGGGCACTGACTGTCTCAGGGCCATTCATCCTGGGCTGGGTTTGTCGGCTCTGGGGAGCCCTGGGGACTCTGGAGGGAGTCGTGGAGTTGAAGACTGGACACTCAATTGGGGCCAACATCATGATCCAGTTGGAGATGAGTCAGGAAAGGTTGTGTGGCTGCTTCTGCACGTGGTTGGGTTCGGGCACACAGCTGGGCACCAGTGCTCACACCTGTCATTCCGGCTACTCAGGAGGCTGAGATCTGAGCATCACAGTTCAAAGCCAGCCTCCAGGCAGACAGATCTGCGAGACGCTTTATTCTCAAGTCTGTCACCCTGTGGGCTACCCCAGCCGCACCTGCTGAGGGCTGGGCCTCAGCACTGACAGACTGTGGGGGGGCGCGGGGGGGGCCGGGCCCTCCCCTCTTCCCATCCCCCCCCTGTCTCCTCATGGATGACACCCCGGCTTTAACCATCAGCATTGTTAACCCATCCATGCCTGCAGCTCGGCCACTTGGTGAGCAGCATCCAAACCTTTTGCTCTAACTCCCAGGCACTGGAAAACAGCGTGGCCCAGGAGAAAAGGAAGTCCAAGGAGGCACTAGAGGCTGAAAGGAGGAAAGTACAAGACCTGGAGAACCACCTGACCCAACAGAAGGAGGTAGGAGCAGCCAGAACCTTCCAGAAGGAACTCCTGAGCCTGGCTGCCTGCCACAGTGGCAACCATGTGGGTAGCTGGTCCCGCAGAGGCTCTCAGGGCGTGGCCAGCACCCGCCACACGTTAACTGCCTTCCCCAGGGAGACCCCCAAGCCCTGACACGCAGTGGCCTCGTTGGAAACGTGGGGATAGAACACCCACCCACCCCTAAGGAATGGGGGTGAAACCTCACCCAAACCGTGACCCGGGGAATGTCAGCAGGGCTCCGCCAGGCCCCACCAGAGTGGGAGACAGCCTGGGGACCGGGCCACCAAACGCTCCCATCCGGAGCAGGCCAACCCCAAGGCCCAGCCTGCCACTCAGCCCCAATGCCCCGATGACACCCCAAAAACAGGAGCTGGGGATCAGGACCCCTCAATGTCCTATAGTAGCACCTCTGTGAGCAACACTGACTCAGCCACCACCACCACCCCAGCCTCCCAGTGCCTCCAGAAACATGGCTGCAGGGGGCTCATTGTGTACGATTTTAATTCATCCTTGTACCATTTGACTTAATTCATCCATCTGTATTTCCCCGTGCAGCCCTCCCCTCCCCACATCCCATCCCACCATGCTGGGCCCATTCTGGGTACAGCGACAAGACAGCTCCCCGAGACCCGCTCCCCACAAAGGGAGGAGAACCACCATGACACCTCCAGCGCCCCCACAGCACCATCAAGCAGAGGGGCAGGTCAGCGAGGGGCCAGTGGACAGGGAGGAAATGACCTCTGAGCAAAACCTGCAGGGAGAGTCACCCACCACGAACTCGGTAGGACAGGAGGAGGTCCCCTGAGAGACGGGGGACCGGTCCTTGGAAGGTCCTTGTCCTGACAGCAAAGAATCTCAGTCCAGGACACAAGGAACAGGCAGAAGTTTATCTAGAGATCAAAGCAGAAAGCAAAGATGCGCATGGCATCGATTTGCCAGCACGAAGAGACAAAGAGATGGGGCTGGCTGGTTTTGACACCAGGGTTTGTATGGTGATAAAAGGGCTTAGTAAACAGTGAGCACGCACGCCCCGTCTCGGCCATTTGTCCACCGACAGCTTGTCCCAGCCAGCCTTTCTGTGTCAGGCCGACCCCAACGTCACTATCTGCTTTCTGTCATCTTAACAGGAATCTCTAGACCTGAGGAATCCCCAGCGTGTTCTCAAGTGTGCTTTCTTCCCAGGGATACATTTCGGGCGTACTTATCAGTGGGGCAGGAAAGGGGGACAAGGATGTTTTCTGTTCCTTGTTGTATCTCAGGGAGGGAGTGTAAAGCGTGAGGCCAAGGAGCCAGAGCCTGTGTGCTTCTAATCAATCTTCCCAGATACAGCATTCATTGTGGACTCCCAGCTGCTGTCTCCCACACCTCCCTTTCCCAGCCTCCAGAGGCTGGGGCCTGCCAGAGATGGGGTGGGAGGGTGGGGGAGGGGAGGGGGAGAGCGTTTACAGAGGGAATGAAACCAGAGTTGGGGTGGGTTGGGGGAGGAAGCAGTAAATGGCCTGGGAAGCAAAGACCAGGGGAGCTTGAGAGGGCTAAAGGGTTTCATCCCAGGTTCAAGTCCCAGCTTTGCCCTCACGTGCTGTGTGACCCTGGCAAGCCCCTTGCCCTCTCTGTGTCCTCAAAAGTGGATGGAAGTCTGGTGAAGTGCTTATCCCCATGAGGTCAGAGGCCAGGGCAGAGGCCATACCTGCCTGAGAGGGAGACAAGAGTCCAGCAGGGTAAGGAAGTGAAATAGAGAGCCTGGACAGGGAGACTCGAGCCAAGGCCGTCATTCTTCCAGGCCCCTCCCCCCACACACACGGCTAGGCTCTTAAAGTCCAGGCTCCCACCAGGCAGAGTGAAGGCAGGCAAACACAGCTGCCTCCGGAGGCTGGAGGATCTGAATTAAGGGCTGGATAGGGCAGGGCCCGCGGCCCGGCGACACAAGTGTTAGGGTGGGGCGTTCCTAGTGACGTGAGCTGGGACATTGCTTGTGCCCTTCCTGACCTGCAAGGTTGGGATCTCTGGACAGAAGCCCCCTAGAGCCTCCCCAGCCAAAGACCTGAAGGCTGGACTCCCTTGTCCAGGGTGGACATGTGAAAGGGGGAGGGTCCTGCTGATCACCCCACTCTGTCACGCCCAGGCACGCAGAAGGACTCGGAGCCAGCAGAACCTAGCACTGCGGGCTGGGGCGGCGGGTAACGCCAGGGCTGGGGCGGGAGGCAAGGCCAGAGCCCCCATGGGGCAGGCGGACCATGGGCGGGTGAGGCTCGGGGCTTAGGGAGTCCATCAAACAATGGGGGACCTGAGGAAAGGTGTCCACAGTCCCCCCCAAGCCTCCCCCACTACACTCCCAGCCTGCCCTGTGCCTTCGCTTATGACAAGAGGGCTCGTTAAGGGAAGTGTGGTGGCTTTACCCCAGCAGTCGTTCCCTCCGGCCTTCCCTCCACCCATGGCGCAGATAGTTCAGATATCTGGGCTGGAAACATGGCTCAGTGGTAGAGCGCTTGCCTAGCATGCATGAAGCCCTGGGTTTGATTCCTCAGCACCATATCAATAGAGGTAGAGCTGGGCTCAAGTGGGTGGCATGCTAGCCTTGAGCAAAAGAAGCTCAGGGACCAGGACAGTGCCCAGGCCCTGAGTTCAAGCCCCAGGACTGGCAAAAAACAAAAAAATTTAAGATATTCTTCTTGTGAATATTATATCTTTAGCACACACACACACAAAAAATCTTTCTTACTATAAATAGATTTTCTACCCCATGCTGTTGCTTCCTGGAGCCTGTCCAGGACTCTGATCATCCAGGACTCTGACTCCCTACCCTGCCCTGGTCCACTGGCTGTACGTCCTCCACTACAGACTACCCCAGAAGTGATGTTGAGAGCCCCAGGCCTTTGCAAAGACCGCAGGAACTGCTTTGTTCTTTCAAGGCACGGGCATGGACCTGGAAGTGGGTCCCAGATTGTCCCGCCCAGAGCCAGGGATTTCCCAGCCAGGCCCTGCACGGACGCCAGCACCTACCCCGTCAGTAGGTGACTCAGGGCCGGGTGACAGGCTTGAGTGCTCACCTGGGTGACTCAGGGCCGGGTGACAGGACTTGGACACTCACAGGCTGCTCATTTCCTGAAACCAGCCCCCTGTGCTGCGCTCTAGGCGCTGGCTCTGCCCATGACTGAGCGCACACTGGCTTCCCGGTTCTGGCCCTGCCGGCTCTCCCCTCCCCCTCCCCGGTGGGCACCTCCAGCTCTCGCTCCCAAGTCTGTGCCATGGTTTCCATGGGCCCACCCTGGCTCCCGCTTCCCCTTCCCCTCCAGTCACAACTCCCAAACTCTTGCCCTTGACCTCCAGCTCTTGGAGAACAGCATCTCCTATGAGAAACTCAAAGCAAAGGAGGCCTTGGAGAAGGAAAAGAAGAAGGTGCAGGACCTGGAGAACCGCTTAACCAAGCAGAGAGAGGTAGGAGCCTCGGTTGGCAGGAGGGGTTCAAATCCTCCCTCTGCTCCCCTCTGGCTGTGGGACATCAGGGAAGTTACTTACCATCTCTGTGCAAGGGTCAACCTCTTTGAGCTATCACGTGACTTCCGTGTGCACAGAGAACACACAGGAAATTGCGGTGGGTAGCAAGCACCCCATGCAGGCCACTTGCAGTATGAGCACAAGCGAAGGCCCAACACCCAAACCCAGGACCCCAGACCGTTTGTCTTCAGCCCCCTCCCCCTCCTGTGTGCCAGGCTCCCGAGGGATAAAAGACGTATCAGACTGCGGACGGCACACTTCTGATCACTCTTAATCACCTCTGATCCCCTCAACATCAGTTTGAACCCAGTCTTGCTGGGCAATTGGTCACCTTCACCCCCAAAACCCAGACTCAGCGCCTGGTGAGAGCTGGCGGTTGACAGCGAGGCGGTGGCTGCTGGGTAACTCACACGCCATAGACATCATTAGCTCCTCTGGGTCTCCATGGTGCAAAAGACTCACATGCACGCACGCACACACACACACACACACACACACAGAGCAGTTGCATGCCTGTCATCCTGACTACTCAGGAGGCTGAGATCTGAGGATCAAGGTCCAAAGCCAGCCCAAGCAGGAGAGTCCATAAGACTCTCATCTCCAATTAACTACCAAAAAGCCAGACATGGAGGTATGGCTCAAGTGGTAGAGCACCAACCTTGAGCAAAAAAAAAGGCTAAGGGACAGCACCCAGGCGCTGTGCTCAAGCCCTGATACTAGCATGGGGGTGGGGGGAGAAAGCAAAAGAAAAGGCAGTTGGCAAATGCACAGCCTGGCAATCGTGGGTTAAGTTCAAACAGAGGTAAAACTTGAAAGACTTGCTAAGGCCAGTGGGGACTAAACGGGTCTCGAAGTCTTTTCATGTCCACCTTGGGCCATTTTCTTTGAAGAAAGCTTCCCACACATCAACATGTGCAGCATCTTAGGGAGGAGATTGGGGGACCCTCACTGAGCCCCCCACATCTGGCTTTAGGAACTGCAGGCACTCTACCTCTTGAGCCACACCACTAGCCCCATTATTGCCATGGGTATTTTAAAGGTAGGGTCTCCCTTTATACTTTTCACTGGAGAGGGCACACCCAGCCTCCCTGACTGGAGCATGAAGGCATTTGCCACATTGATCCAGGAGAAGAAAGACTTAATAACCCTCCTCTAATATGTAAAGGGCTGACACATAGAGAAATCAACCTCCAGAGCTCCAGATGACAGATCTGAGTTAGGAGACAGGAGTCTACAAAGAGGCAGATCATGGCTGAAGAGAAAGAAGGCTTGTGCAGTACCTAGAACCTAGTTCAAAAGACATGCACGGGCTTTGGATTTAAAAGGGATGAACAGAATCTGGGCACTGGCAGCTCACACCTGTCATCCTAGCTACTCAGGAGGCTGAGATCTGAGGATCACAATTCAAAGCCAGCCTCAGTAGGAAAGTCCATGAGACTCATCTCCAATTAACCACCAGAAAAGCAGAAGTAATGCTGTGGTCAAGTGCTCACCTTGAGCTGAAGAGCTCAGGGACAGTGCCCAGCCCAGAGTTCAAGCCCCACAACTGACAAGAAAAAAAAGAAAGAAAGAAAGAAATGAAGAAAGGAAAGAGGAGAGTTTGTACATCCCCTCTGATGGCATGGGTACAGCACAGGGGTCAAGGCAGGAAATGCAAATATCTAACCCTGAATTGTCTGTAATTGTGGTGCCCATTGTTTGTCTAGGAGATAGAATTGAAGGGGCAGAAAGAAGACATCTTAAATAATAAATTAAGTGACGCACTGGCCATGGTGGAAGAGACTCAACAAACAAAGACAGTGGAAAGTCTAAAAGCAGAAAAGCTCTCCCTGAAATTAAATGAAACGTTAGCCGAACTGGAGACTGCCAAGACAAAAATGGTATGGGACACCGGAAACGGTAAGGTCTTGCTGGGAGCAGAGGAAGGCCGCAGCATCCTGAGCCCACCTTTGCCCGGGCCTGCTGGGCCTCAGCCTGGTGGCATTCTGGGCCCGATGACACGTATCAGGAGCTGTCCTGCATGGGGGACAAGAATGAGCACATCCCTGGGCCACTGCCCATGGAATGCCAGGTGCCCTCCTCCCCGGACCCCAATCCTGACTGACAAAAATAGCTTCAGAGCCAAGCATTGGTGGTCACGCCCATAAGCCTAGTCACTCAGGAGGCAGAGATCTGAGGATTGTGGTTCAAAGCCAGCCCAGGCAGGAAAGTCCTTGAGACTCTTATCTCCAGTTAACCACCAAAAGTGGAGCTGGCTCAAGTGGTAGAGCCCCAGCCTTGAGCAAAAACAAAAACAAAAAAAAAAACAACTTAGGGACAGCACCAGGCCCTGAGTTCAAGCCCAAGGACCGATGCAAAGTTGCTCCCAGCTGAGTATACTGGCTTGGAAAGAAAGGTACCTAGGGCTGTGCTGCCTCCTCCAGGCCTCATCAGATACAGCATGAGCTCCCCCCAGGCCCGGGAGGAGCGGGGGTGCCCAGGCCACAGACTGTAATTCTGTCTGCTTGGGTTTGCTGAGCTAGGGATTGGGCCTAGCCAACTCTGGGCAAGTGCTCAATCACTTGAGCCATGCCAGCCTTTTTGTTTGTGTTTTGATTTTGAGATGGGCCTTCACTCATTTTGTCCAGTCTGGCCTTAAACTCTCAATCCTCCTGCCTCTGCCTCTCCAGTCGTTGTACTCTCAGTGGTGATAAAGGCCTCAGAGACAATAAACCCCATGAAACAGAGTATACCTCAGAGCGATCTACTAGGTAGGTGATCAGAAGGACCTCCCCAAGGAAGTGATGCCAGAACTGAGACCTGAAGATGAAAAGGGGTTAGCCATGTAAGGAGGGTGGGAAGGAGTATGTCAGGTAGGGGAAACAGCCTGTGCAAAGGCCCCGTGGCAGAACCTGATTTAGAGCCTGTGAGTGCACCAGAGGCAAATTGCTGCTGTCTTTGTGTCAGCTCAAACCCAGGATCACGAAGTACTTGCACTGTTTTCCCAGATCATGATGGAGGAGAGGCTGCGGCTGCAGCAGCAAGCCATGAAGGCACTTCAGGACGATAGGGAAGCCCAGAAGCATGGATTTGAAGAAGAAGTCCTGGAATACAAGGAACAAATCAAACAGCACTCGCAGACGATCGTGAGTCTAGAGGAAAGACTCCAACAGGTCACGCTGCAGCATAAGAAAATAGAAGTGGAGATTGCCACCTTGAGGATCAATGACCCAGGTAGGCTGAGGGGTAGGGTACCATGGTGCCCGGGCCAGGGAAGCTCCATGACACACCTCCCCAGGACTGACAGAGAGAAAGGCTGGAACTCACTTACAAACTCACTCCTGCCAGGCATCCGTGGCTCACGCCACCTAAGGATCACAAAAAACCAGGAATGGAGCTGTGGCTCCAGTGGCAGAGCACTAGCCTTGAGCTTAAACAGCTCAGGGACAGTGTCCAGGCCCTGAGTTCAAGCCCTTAGAACAGGCACAAAAATAAGAAGAAAGAGAGAGAGAGAGAAAGGAAGGAAGGAGGGCAGGCAGGCAGGCAGGCAGGCAGGCAAGAAGATAGGAAGGAAAGGAGGGAGGGGGGGAGGGAGGAAGGGAGGAAGGGAGGAAGGGAGGACCGAGCACAGAGGGCAGCACTGTTAGACCTTGGTGAGCCCCCTACCAGCGGTGTGCCACCCCCAGTCTCTTGTCTATAAATAGCGTTGGTGATCGCCAGCATGCTGGGTGTCAGGAAGTTTCACGGCCTCCATTGGTCTGTGTTGTGTTGCCACTAACACACCAGGTAGTTCTAGAGGTCCCCGGGAAGGGGCGGTGATAGCCAGGGCATGAGTCAGGAGGAGGCGCAGGTATCACATGGTGAGAGAGTGAGGTTCTGGTCTCTTTCCTTCTCCTCCTCCTCCTCCTCCTCCTCCTCCTGATAAAGCCACAGGTCCCACCATGGGACTACATGCTGATGGCTTCATCTAACCCTAATCACACACACACACACACATCTAACCCTAATCTCACACACATACACACACACACACACACACACACACACACACACACACGGGCGCCTACCTTGGAGCGCCCCAGGGGGATTGAGTTTCCAGTTCTGAATCCTTCACCGTGGTGGGCTGGATTTTAGCGAGCATCTGGGAGACAGGAGCCATGTGAAGACCCTGGCATCTCAGCAGACAGAGACACACGTGGGGCCCTGGGGGACCGGAAGGGCCCCGGGGCAGGAAAAGTCAGAGGCTATGAGGGATGGTGTTCATAGGCGGAGGGGGAGAGCGCCCTCTGCCTGTGTGCCAGGGTGCTGCTGTGTCTCCCCCTTGCAGGGCCAAAGGAGGAGGCGCCCCAGGAGCCCCTCATGGCTCCCGTATTGCAGGAGAGCGGCAAGGAGTTGGTGTGCGACAACTTGATGTGAGTACCAAGGGCCGGGGGCACCCCACGGCACCCCACGGCACCCTGGGGAATAAGCACATGACCAGAGCCAGAGACTTAACGCCCGGGAAAGGAGCTGAGTCCCCAGTTTTCTGCGTCAGTTAGATTCCTCGTGCTCCCTAGCGAGTCAAAACGGTGTTCGGTGGGCCTGTGTTCAAATCCTGCCTATGGACAGGGCCTAACACTACTCCTGCTGACTGCCACCCCGGAGGAGTCCGGCCACCTCCCCGGACCAGGCGCTAGACTGTCATGATGCCCTCCGGGGTCTCCTCCGCCATCCCTGTACCCCCATTGTCTAGACCCCACAGCCTCTCCCCCACGGCGCCCCCCAACCTCACCCATTCACAGCCTCCCGGCTCCTTAACCGGGGTCCAAGTGATGTGGGGCGTGCACAAGCCTCCTCTCCCACCCTGAGAGAAGTGCTGATCCCCCCCCCCCGTGGCCTTCTATTCTCTTTCCACCGAAAGCCCATGGGTGTCTCGCCCTGTGCTGACAGACCCCAAGCGCACAGGCACGCGCACGCTTCTTCACACCAACCCCACCTCGAAACCATTGTCATGGTCACTGTTTTTGTTTTTATGCCATCCTGGGGCTTGAACTCGGGGCCTGGGAAATGTCCCTTAGCTTTTCCACTCAAGCCACAGCTCTACTGCTGGCTTTTTGCTGGTTGTTTGGAGATACGCGTCTCACAGACTTTCCTGTCCAGGCTGACTTCAAATCGGTGCTCCTCGGATCTCAGCCTCCTGGGTAGCCAGGATTACAGCTGTGAGCCACCAGCTCATGTGGCTTTTCATGAAGCCAAAGGAAACAAGTTCACCTCCGAGAGGTGTTAAAGGCCATTCTTGGCTCTGCCTTCCTCGGGGTCCCTTGGACCACAGTCGGGGGCAGGGCATCACTCTTCCCCGACACGGGCCGCTTGGGAGCCAGTGACGCTGGCTTGCTCTGACCTGGACTGTGCTGCGAGTTTCAGAGATGACTTGCTGCTGGCTCAGAAGGAGATCCTGTCTCAGCAAGAGGTCATCATGCGCTTGAGGAAAGACCTCAACGAAGCCCACAGCCGCATGTCAGACCTGAGAGGTTTGTCCCAGCTCCGCACTCTTCACAGCCTACACATTCCATTCGGGAAAGAAAAGAAACAAGGCCACAGAGGCGGCCCTGTGGGTCCCTGCTGTCCTGAGCACTCAGGCAGCCTGGGCAGGACAAGGCCCTGGTTCCCACCACCAGCCCTTGGGGGCAGGGGAGGGGGATGCCCCAGGCTGCCTTCTGCCCAGGATTTCCGGGGTAGGGGGCTGGAAGGGGGCCCTGGACAGGGCAGTTGGCAGGACTGGGCACTTGCCAGTGCAAGGGAGGCTTCTCCCGGCCTCCTTTGCCCTGGGGGCATGAAGGGGTCGGGACCCCTGCTGCCAGGGTCGGTCTAAACATAGTAGCCACACAGGGTAGGGGGGAAGAAGGCCTGATGGTGTGTGTGTGAGAGAGACAGAGACAGAGACAGTACTGGGCTTAAACTCAGGGCTTGGCTGCTGCCCCTCAGCTTTGTCCCTCAAGGCTAGCGCTCTACCATTGGAGCTGCAGCTCTGCTTCCAGCTTTTTGATGGTTAATTAAAGGTAAGAGTCTCCCAGGCTGGCTTCAAAACTCTTCCTTCAGATCTCTGTGTCCCAAGTAGCTAGGATTCTAGACGTGAGCCACCGGCCCCCGGCGCGATCCCGCGTCTTACACAGACACGCACCTGGCCCGGCTCTCTGTGCCACCTCTGCTTCCCTCTCTGCCTTTTCATTTCTGCCCTCCTTCTCTCTGTGACCACCTCCGCCTTCCTCTAGTCCCCAGTGAGACAAAAAGCACAGGCAGACAGAGACAACAAAACCCTTGAGCCAAAAGATGCACCACTGGCCAGGGTGGGCCCTGACAGTGCCGGCCGGTGCCCGGGGAGAGCCTCCCCACCCCCTACCCCCTCCCCGGCACATGGAGAGGAGTTAAGGGTGGCCTGCTGCAGCCATGCTAAGACACAAGCAGAACTCTGGTGGGTACGAAGGCCCCCAGCACAGGCCCTAGGGAGCCCCCCCCCCGCCATCAGTTCTCCTGTCACCCCCAGGGGAGCTGAGTGAGAAGCAGAAGATGGAGCTGGAGCGATATATGACCATGGTCCAGCAGCAGAGCAAGGAGCTGAGCATGCTCCGGATGAAGATGGTGCAGATGAGCAGCATGGTGGACAAGAAGGACAGGGAGATCAGGATTCTCAAGGAGGCACTCAGGTGCTGGGTCGGGGTGGCAGCGCAGAGCCTCACACAGGGAGAGGGCTGGGGAAGTGCTGCTGCTGCTTGAACTGAATGAGCAGATGGATGGATGGCATCGCTTCATGGTTCCCTCAATTGAAACAGAGCTATGCTCAGTTCTGGGCTCCCAAAACACTGCTGTCGAGTATCCCAGAGGACCTGACTCCGCCGAAATGCCGCTTCCTCCAGGAAGCCCTCCTCACTTACTCATGCCACATACAAGCCAGGGCTCCTGCCCTGCCTGGAACTCTCAGCCCCCTGTGCTCGGCCCGTCCAACCTCTTACCCATGGCAACGCCATGCCTGCCTGTTCAGCGGGTACAGAAAGTGTTTCGTATTTATTAAACAAAAGAATGTGCCAAAGGTGTCAACTTAAACTAAATACCAAATAGTGTTGCCAGTGCCATTGGCTCACCTGAGTAACTAGTATTCCTAGCTACTCAGGAGGCTGAGGTCTGGAGGATCCTAGTTCTAGGCCAGCTGGGACAGGAAAGTCTGTGGCATTCCATCTTCTATTGGGCAGCAAAAAGCTGGGCTAAGAAAGCCAGGCCTTGGTTCAAAACCTGATACTGACAAAGAAACATATAGTGTCATTGTCTCATGAACTAATCTTTTGTAAAATGTGAACTGGAGTCAGGTGCCAGTGGCTCAAACCTGTAATCCTAGTTACTCAGGAAGCCGAGACTTGAGGATTATGGTTTGAAGCCGTTCCAGTAAAGACTGTGAGACTCTTATCCCTAAATAAGCAGAAAAAGGCCAGAATTGGAACTATGGCTCAAGAGATAGAGAGCCAGCCTTGAGCCAGCTCAAGCAAAGTGCTCTCGAGCCCTGAGTTCAAGCTCCATGATCAGCACCAAAAAAAAAAAAGAGTGAGTTGGTATTATCTATATTTCACAGATGTATCTATTTCATAGACATATATTACAACTTACCCATTTCATTCCTTGGCAGTGTTGGGATTTGAACTCAAGGCCTCGTGTTTTCCAGGCAGGCACTCTTGTGCTTGGGCCATGCTCCTAGTCCAATTATTTATATTTTAACACAAGTGAATGTTTTCCAGAAAAAAAAAAGTCTGAGCACAAGTGGTGCTTGTACATCTCTGGGCATTTCATGTGCCTCGTGGCTTGTGGTCACACGTCACACCCTTCTCCTCACCAGACACCGCCACCACAAGCTCCAAGAGGCACTGCCCAATTGCCATGTGTCTGCTTGTCTCCAAAATGGCAGGGAGAGTCTGACTTGCTGGGTTGCTCCCAGTTTAGAAGGACCAACACATACCCTGAGTCATACAGACATACCACCCAGACTGTAAAAGTCCCTTCATGGCTACAGCAGGTAGACATAGCGTGAGAGCTCAAGGAAGGCCAAGTACCTGTCCCTTGCCCAGCCACTCCCCTATAACTGAGTTCAAATCCAGGACCAGGAGTCTCAATCTCCTGTGAAGTCAGAGCTGGTCTGCGGAAGGGCAGGGAGGCTCTTGAGCTTCCTGCAGCTGCCTCCTGTGACATCCCTTCCCCATCCTAGGGCTTCCCAAGACAAAACCGTACTCCAGCTGAGCATGGAGAAGGACCCCAAGCCCCGCAAAGCCACCCAGAAATGTGACATCTCCTTACAGATAGAACCTGTCCACCCAGACGTGTTCTCCAGCAGCCAAGAGGTGAGTGTCGTGGGTCCCCACAGGACCCCAACAGGGGCAGCTCGCTTTCCCACTGAAGTCTCAAAAGTGTCACTTGCCTGGGGAAATGTAGAGAGAAAGACCTGCCCACTGCGGGCAGAAGCAGGTGGAAGGGGCTGTCCTCAGAGCTTTCCTGGTGGAGAGCACCCTACCCAATACAGACTGCAATGAGCAGGGCTTGAGGGCCAGGCTTGGAGACAGCCTGCCTGGCATGGAGCCCCAATCCCCCCTCTTAGAAACCCTGTGATGACCTCAGGGCGTTCACTGTGCCAGTTCCCTTGTCTGAGAGTAATGGTAGTTCCCACCTCATTGGAACCATTGAGCAATAAGTAAATCGTGTGTGTGTGTGTGTGTTGATTCTGGGGCTTGAACTCAGGGCCTGGACACTGTCCCTGAGTTTTTTCACTCAAGTCTAGTGCTCTACCATTTGAGCCACAGCTCCACATCTGGCCTTTTGCTGGTTAATTGGAGAGTCTCATGGACTTTCCTGCCCAAGCTGGCTTTGGACCCAATTCTCAGATCTCAGCCTCCAGAGTAGCTAGGATTGCAGATCTGAGTCACCAGCACCTGGCTAGGAACATACTTTGAATAGACTGAAAGCAGGACATCTCTGGGGACAGAATGATCATGATTTTCATCATCCTAGAACAAGTTTTTATTGAATATAAGGGGCTTGGAACATTAAGTCCCTCCCCCAAACTGGTACCTGGGATACATTCTCTGTCCCAGGGTGAGGGAACTTTACTAGATTTCACTTGACTGGCTGCATTTGGCCGTGGTCTGCTGGCTGGGTGAGTTATTTAAAGGTCTATTACCTCAGAATTCATCGCCTCCCTTTAGGCTGCAGGAAAGCCGGTCACTAACCCACAGACCCACCTTGATAGTCCAGGATTTGATGCGCCCTGGGGCTGACGAGAAAGTTTAATTACAGTGTTCTCGCCAAGACCTTCTGGTCCCATTCTCTATTTTTCTTCATTTCCCAGTGCTCAAGGCTAGCTGCCACCTGTCACCCACACTGGACATTTAGGCTGCTTCTCTTTTCTCAGTAGCCTGTGATTGCTTCGATTACTATACTTGCACATGCATAGAACACATTCCTACATGTGAGTCCAAAGGCGTTCCTGAATGGGTCTTCATCCAAACATCCATCCCAAAGAGCCACCCCCAGGCTGTCCTGGGCTGTCCTGGAAGTCCAGCAGGGAGTGTCTACAGAGAGCAGCTTTCATCAAGCCATCCCCCAAGGCCATCCCCCTCTGTTCCCGTGGCTGGTGCCTTGACATTTCCCATGATCCCTTGCCAGCAGATTGTGGAGTAGAGTGGTTCCTTGAGGCCCAGGTTTCCTCGAGCCCCAGACATCCCTTCCAGAGAGCATGACGTTCCAGGAAAAGGCTTTGGGCTCTGGCTAGGAAATGGGGCCAAATGTGTCAGCGAAGACACTTTCTCCTGCCAGGCAACCAAGAGCCAGGGCCACAGGCAGCTTAGACAAAAGGGCTGTCCCTGGCATTGAGTGCTGTCCAGAGCACTTTAACAGATGAAGCTTCTGTTGCTCAGGGCAACCGCAGGGAGAAAGACTGAGAGGGTAGGAAGCTCCATGGGACAGGAAATGAGAGCCACTCCTGTGGAAATCTCAAGACCTTAGAGCAACACCTGACTCACAGCCACATTTCATCATCACCACTGGATGCCAGGCCTGGGGGCCTGACACAGGGAAATTGGTATAGGGCCCTTGCCCACCTCAGACTCCCTTGGATGAGGTCTGCGCACTGATTGCAGAGCTGGGACACATGAGATTTGTGTGTGTGTGTGTGTGCGTGTGTATGTGTCTGTGTCTGTGTGTCTATGTGTGTGCCAGCCAGTACTGGGACTTGAACTCGGGGACTGGGCACTGTCATGTAGTTTTTTCCGCTCAAGGTTGGCTCTATACCACTTGAGTCACAGTTTCGCTTCTAGCTTTTGGTGGTTAATTGGAGATTAGAGTTTCATGGACTTTCCAGCCAGGACTGGCTTTGAACCATCCTTATATCTTGGCCTCACTAGTAGCTAGGATTACAGGCATGAGTCACCAGCACAGGCTTTGGGGATTTTGAGTTTCTATCCTGAGGTGGCTTTGTTTAGGAGGGTAGAGGCCTGAAGGCTTCAAGATAAAAGGAGCAAAGTATTTCTTCCTCTTTAGAATAACACCCCCCACTTCCTGTTTTCTAAGCTGGAATGGGTCAGAGGGCTCAAGAGTTGTGTGAGAAAGTCTCCGTCCTCTCCAAATAAAAAAGTTCCCAGAGGGATAGGAAGAAGGGCTCAGCATGGCGGCTTCCTCAGCAAGCCCGGGAAAGGCTGAAATTTTGCTGTCACATCTCTCCCAGGACCCCCCTGAAGTCACCATCTCCCACCAGCTTATATCCAGGCATGGAGAACATTTCAGGTGACAGGTGATATCCCCCAGGGTGGACAGACCCCTGGCTTCACAGTGATAGAGCATTGACTCTGTTCAGCACCCAGACTCTGCCTGGAAGACCAGTCCCCAGAGGAGTCAGGCTGTCCTGGGGCCGCACTGGATGGGGTAAATAAAAACCGATCAGCGCTGCGGAGTGTCCAGTGGGGACAAGCACCCTGAGGAGCCATGGGACAGGGTGTGGGGACCGCTGCCCCAGCATCGCAGTGGGGAGGGGCTCTCTGCAGGAGGAGACTGGACCAGAGCCAGTCAGGGCTGGGTCATTCTCAGATGGCACAGATGAGCACCTTAAGGAGACCAGGGGGCCTCAAACCCCAGGCAGCCAGGATGGCTTGCACAGGGTTTGTGAGTCACGAGAAGCTCTCGAGTCACCAGTGCCTGGTAGCAATTCTCAGTCTCTGGAGTCAGAGTGGCTACCTTCTTGTCTCTTGTCACCGCGTGCTCCATCAGAATCGAGTCCTCTGCAGAAGAGGCTGGCGGGTCTCTGGTGAGCTCATCTCACATCATGGCCTGGAATCCTGTCTGCAAAGTATGAGGGGGTGGGCCAAGGAAACAGAGAGGAAGAAAGGAGAAAGAGACAGAGGCAGAGCAACTCAAACGAAACAGGCAGGAGAGAAGGAAGGAGAGAGAAAGAAAGAGAGGGCAAAGGAGATAATAGGCAAGAGAGTAATGGATAATAGGAGAGGAGGGAAGGGGAGAGTAAGAGAGAGATGGAGAAGAAAGGGAGAGAGGGAGAGGTGGACAATAACTAATGATAGATTGATAGATACATGCACCTATAACTGAATAAAGAAATAGAGATGGAGCCAGGCACTGGTGGCTCATACCTGTAATCCTAGCTATTCAGGAGGCTGAGATCTGAGGATCGTGGTTCAAAGCCAGCTCCAACAGGATATCTCCAATAATCTACTCAGAAAAAGCTGGAAGTGGCACTGTAGCTCAAGTGGTAGAGCACTGCTAGCCTTGCGCACACAGAGACTCAGGGACAGCACTCAGGTCCTGAGTTCAAGCCCCAGGACTGGCAAAGAAAAAGAAAAAGAAACAGAGATGGGAGCAGGGTGCCAGTGGCTCACACCTGAAATCTTAGCTGCTCAGGAGGCTGAAATCTCAGGATCATGGTTCAAAGTTCATGAGACTCTTATCTCATGGCAGAGGAGGTATTGCTTCTGTGGTAGAACTCTATCCTTGAGCAATAAAGCTAAGAGACAGCTCCCAGGCCCTGAGGTCAATCCCCAGAACTGCCATAAAAAGAAAGAAAAGATATGTACAGCCAGATAGACATATCTAGCTATACATAATTTTAATGATTTCAGTTCACTTCATACTATATATGTTATCAGTATCGATCGCATAAAATGAACCAAAATTGCCATTTTAAAAATAGTTATAGAAGAACCAGATTGTCGATTTCTGCCCTTTCTTGCCAGTTTGGCTGAGGCCTACCCTAGCAACTTGTCTACAAGCAGAAACCACCACCCCCCAGCACAGATTCCCCCCTATCGCTTCTCCTCGTCTGTCTCCCCTGCTCGTCTCCCTCATTGCCTGTCACCAAATTAGGACATCAAATCTGTGACACCAGAGAAGTCACAGTTGAGCTCCCAGAACCTAGAACAAGGCTCAGCCCTCAGAAATGTTCACAAGTCTGTATGCCATATGCCTATGACCCTAGCGATTCAGGAGGCTGAAGTCCAGAGGAGGAAGGCTCAAAGCCAGCTCAGGCTAGAGTCTGTGAGACTCCATCTCCAAAATAACCAGTGAAAAGCCAGGCTGGAGGTGCAGCCCAAGAGATAGAGCTCCAGCTAAGCAAGTAAGTTGAGTAAACATAGGCCCTGAGTTCAAAGTCTAATACCAGAAAAACAGAGTCATAATGGAATAAATGAACAGATAAATAAATGAATGAATTACGTATCTTGGAGTCTATGGTGGACTGCAGGGGTTCCTTGAACCTCTAAAAGTTAGATGTGAACATGCATATAGGAATTTTTCAGCTTTCTGCAGACCAGCCAAGAGCCCATTTGTCAAATCCCCTATGGAAAAAGAAGGCAGCCACCCCATGGCTAAGTTTATAACAGAACGTTGTGTGGTCTGGGCTGGAGCCAGGCTCAGTGGTAGAGCCCATACTTAAGCAGAGTCCTGAGTTGAGTCCAGTCCCCAGCACGACGAAAAGGATAGGAAAGAAAAAGTAGGTGATCATGCCCCTCCAGAAGTAGAACTTGAGGGCGAGAGGCATGGCTCAAGTACAAGGGCCTGAGTTCAAATCCTAGGACCACCAATAAAATACAAGACTTGCTCTGATTTGTTCATAAATGAGACCATAAGGGTAACAAATAGGAACCTAGCACAGAAGAATATTAGAAGAAAAAACAAAGAAGACATAAAGAAGGGATCTTTTATTTATAGCCATAGTAGGCAGTAAAGTTAGAAATCTTCCTCTGGTGGGATCTGACACTTGGTGATGAAAAATTTAAATCCCTTCTCTGTGGAAGTCCTTATGATGTTTTCCAGAAGCATTAAATGGCACAGGCCCTGCTAGACAGGAATTGTTTATGCCTCTGTGAATATAAGAATACCAGTGGCTCATGCTGATAATCCTAGCTACTTAGGAGGCTGAGATCTGAGGATCGTGGTTCAAAGTCAGCCCAGGCAGAAAAACCCATGAGACTCTCATCTCAAATTAACCACCAAAAAAAAATCTGGAAATGGAGGTGTAGCTCAAATGGTCAAGCACCAGCCTTGCGTGAAAAGCAGAGAGTCTAGGGCCTTGAGTTCAAGCCATAGTACTGATGCATAAGAGAGAGAGAGAGAGAGAGGGAGAAAACATCTAGCTTCCTGACCAGCTCTGTCTGTCTCTGTTCCCAGGAACAATCCTTCAGCGACCTGGGGGCAAAGTGCAAAGGATCTCGCCATGAGGAAGTCATCCAGCGGCAAAAGAAAGCCTTGTCCGAACTCCGAGTGCGGATCAAAGAATTGGAGGCCAGCCTGCCCAGTAAGTCTCCCTAGTCCCAGTGGGGCCCAGAGCCAGAGTGGCAAGGCCCCCACCTTTTCTCCCCCTCTCTCATAATCGGAAGGGCTTTCTAGTGTACAGAAAGAGGAGCAGGGCTGACCTCAATCCAGTGTGGGCCTTCATGTTAAATAAATGGGACATCATGAAACACTCACCATTGTCCTCTTTCTTATTTCGTGGTGGCCGGGTGGAAGCAGTTGTGATCTAAAGCTGCCCATGAATCAGCGTTGGTACTGTTTGAGTTTGCAGAGGGACAGAGCTCCGTGAGCTTGGGGGCTGTCAGGGAAGGCATGAGAAACTAGGTGCTTAGCTTCCAGTCCCTGTGGGCTAGAAGACCTGAGGCCAAGTTTACCCTCAAGGCTCTGGTGCTGACACTGTGGCTGCAACCTCATATTAGCTCTATGGCCTTAGCCAAGTCAATTAATGCCTAGGCCCCAGCTTTCTCATCAGCCCAAGGAGATTCCCGAGGGTTTAAAACAGGGGCCTTTGGAAAGTGTCCCATAAATCATAGCTCTGGTTTCTTACATGATAATAACTTCCTCCTGAGTCTAAATTATTTCTTTTATAGATCATAAGGACCACCTGAGTGAATCAGTTCTAGAATTAAAGCCTCTCAGAATGGAAAAAAACGTCCAGAAAATATTATTAGACGCAAACCCCGATTTTCCAGCTCTCTCAAGAATAGAGATGCAAGCGGTAACCAAAAGCACCTTTGTCTCTGCAGGGCCCGGTACATGAAGTGGGTGGGCTTCGGGGCAGCCACGAGCCACAGCCCTGGCACACAGCTCTAGGGCTGTGCGGCTGTGGATCGGGGCCAGGACCTCCTCAAAGGGCAGGTGTGTGCCCTTCCTGGGGGCGAGTTGGGGGATGCTTGCTCTTCAAGGCGACTTCCACCTTCCACAACAGGATCCATCCTTGCTTTGATTCTGGGCCAGATTCTCTGACTAAAGCACCTGGCCCCACCCCTTTCCCCTTTTAGATCAAGTGTCGCTTTCTGCAGCAAAGGTCCAGCAGGCTCATCTCTGAGCCGTGAGTTTGCCAAGTTCGTCTTTCACTGTTAACTTGTAAAGCCATGATCACATAAGACATAGCAGGAAGGACCCACCGTGGAGAGGAAGGGATAGTTCAGGGGTGCCTGTGTCTAGACCCCCGCCTGAAGGTTGTGTGGCCTTGGGCAAGGCTCTGGACCCTCCTGGGATTCATGGCAATGGGCAGCCAGGAGGACCCACTGAGCACATTGTTACTGCCTCAGCTGGATCAAAGGCTTCTAGAAGAGACCACACGTATAGCCTATCTGGTCCTATCTGTGCCCACACTGTCTCCGATGACTTCTGTGAACCTTTTACTAGAGTCCAGGATGAATGTCTTCAGTAATAAGCTGATTTCTTGATAATATATTTGTGTGTGTGCAGGTGTATATATATATATATATATACATACCTATCACCCCTTATTCTCCAAGGTTAACTGTGCAGGGATAGTCTCCAAGTGGGAGGGGAGCTAGACCCCTGCTTCCCAGCCTGACCTTCAACCTTGGAGGTGATCTCCATCCCACGACTGACACCGCATAGCAGGAAACATCCAACCCCTCTTTTAAAGAGGTGCCCCAAGGCCAGCAGTGACTGAAATTAAGGAGTGAAGGTGCAGAAGGAAGAATGGCTGGCACTGGCTGAGTGCTTGCTGTGTGTGGGACCATGAGCTGAGCTCTCCCACACATACCCACACCTCAGCCTCTTCATGGTCAAGGTCATTTTCCCCAAGCTGCAGATAAGAAAAATGGAGGCTTTGGGAAGTCAAGGACCCTATCCCAGCCCTCAGTGATAGGGGACGGTAATTCTAAGCATGGAACCAGGCCTGGGTCTTCCCTGGTGGCCTGGCTCCTGCACACTGTTTACAGAGAAGCAGGAAAAGTAGGGGGAGGAATAGAGGGGAATTTCTGAAGAGAAGTACAGAAGACTGGGCAGAGAGGATTGTGGACACCGTGCTGCATTTTAGGTTCTTTTTGTAGCAAAGCTGCTCACCTTCTTGTTGCTTTAGAAGATCCTCTTTTATCCTCATCCTAAGTCTCACCCCTCCTGACAAGATAAGCACAGCTACTCTTACCCATCATGATCACCTTCGGGCTTTTCTGTCTTTGCAAGTAGGGTTTATCATGGTCATCTCGGAGTGTTACAGCAGGGCTGACAGAGGCTTCCGCTAAGATGTTCACTACAGGAAGTGGAGCTGTGGCTCAAGTGGTAGAGCACCAGCCTTGAGCAAAAACATCAAGCAAGAGTTTGAGGCTCTGAGTTCAGCCCCAGTACCAGTGCATGTACACACACACACACACACACGCACACGCACACACACACACACGTTCCCCGCATTCATGGCAAGCACTTGAAGCCTAGTTTGGTTCGAGGAGATTTATTTTGGTCTCTGGTGGTTCTCCCTACCCTTTCTGTGGCTTTCCCAGGCTTTTTTTGTGGCTTCCTCAGCTGGCTGGCAGCAGTCTCAGACACACCAGCTTCTGGCAGCTTCCAGCAGCTTCCAGCATCAGGAGCACATTTGACCACATAAGGCCTCATTTCAGCTCCACAGAAATAAGATCCTTCCTTTTATAGAAGAGGAGTGGTTTTCTAAGTAGTCATTCATCCATCTAGCCATTCATTCCACCAACATATGCTACTCTACCGGGTACACAGGAGGGAGCTAGCGAACCCCCAGACACACAGTCCGTTATAGCGACGGGGATTTCTCAGAATTCCTCATACTTGGTGACACATGGTTCCTGCCCAGTTTGGGTAGGGCACAATCTGTGAGATGTAGGGTATTTTAGTGTCATCCTTGACCCAGGGGTACCAATACCACCTCCATCTTTACATGTGACACCCTAAAATGTGTCCAGACATTTCTAAAGGTCCTGGGGCAGGGGAGGGAAGACAGTCACCCCTGCTGACACCTGCAGCTCTGGAGGAGGCGAGGCAGTGGAGGAGGGGTCCCCCATGGCTGCCCGAAGGGTGGGACATAGTCCTAAGATAGCAGAGGACAAAGGAGTCATGCGGCAGGGTCAGGAATGGAATGGAATCTCTTCTCTCTCTTTCCCATACTTTAGCTTCTGGCTGAAGGAACTAGTTATGATGGCATGCTGAAAGAGTCTGGATTTTTTTTCTTTTTCTTTTTTATTTCAGTCCCAGAATGGCTACTCCAACTTAGGCTGCGGCTCTGTCATGGAGAAGTCAGGGAAATCGGAAGTGGCCGAAGCCTTAGATCTCAGTGAAAAGCTGGTGCGTACAAGCACCATCAGTTTCCCCACCCCCTTCCACCTCTTCCCGCCCCACACCTGCTCCCCTAAGTTCACTGTTAACTCCGCTATCATTTACTAAGTACCAGCCTGGCAGATCTATTTAGTTGCTCTATTAATTCTGCGAGGCCCAGCATGGGTCACAAATTGCACAGCCAGATTCCTTGGGAAGCCGGGCAGCTAGACGAGTGTTTGGATGTGTTGTCGTTCTCTCCCCCTACTTCAAAGGCCTCCATGTACACGGAGGTGGGGAAATGAGAGGCCCAAATGCACTCATTCTCAACGCCCCACCCCACTCTCTGGGGTTGCAGACAATGAACCACATAGACTTAGAGATGCCGGCCTCCTCCCACCCCTCTCACAACACGATGGCTTCCCTTGTAGTACATGGACATGAGCCGGACCCTCGGGAGCCTGATGAACATCAAGGAAATGTCAGGCCACGTGTCCATGAGACACCTCTCCGCCAAGGAGAGGGAGAAAGTCCACCACCTCCGACAGAGGGACCTGGACCTGGTGTTTGATAAGATCACCCAGCTCAAGATGCGGCTGCAGAGGAAGGAGGAGCTCTTGAAAAGTTACGAGCAGGACATGGAACAGATCAGGTACTGCTGCGTGCCCACAGGAAGGCCCGCTCCTCCCCAGGCCCACCTGAGCCGGGACAGGAGGCCTGAGTGTGGGCACTCTGACCAGGGAGGCCCAGTTGGGGCGAGTCTGTCCTTGTCACGACCTTGATCATGACTTTGATCATGGGTTTTGGGGGTTCACAGATTCCCCACCTAGGGAAGCTGGGAGGCCATTTGATGCTGCCCATACCTAGCTGATGAGTTGGGCTGTGGAAAGGGAGGGGTCCCTACAAATGGCTGTCACAGTCTCCTGCTTGTAATGGAACCCCATCACACATATCCCTTCCCCCGCTTGGTGGAAGGAGCTGGAGAGGCATGGACAGGACACTGATGGTGGCAGGGATGGTGAGGGGAAAGTGGACACCATCTCCCCATGCACCTAGACAGAGCAAAACGTCCACCCAGTCGTACCAGTCACAGCTGGCAAAGCTTGAGGACGACATCTACAGAGAGGCTGAGGAGAAGGCACTGCTGAAGGAGGCCCTGGAGCGCACGGAGCACCAGCTGAGCCAGGAGAAGAGGCTCAACAGGGTCCTGAAGCAGCAGAAGGTGAGAGGCCTCCAAGGGGCAGAGCCTCCAAGGCTGCCCCTCAGATCTCTTACACATGGCTGATGGGGTGGGGTGGGGTGAGGGGGATGCAGAACTAACCAGTGGTGCTGAGCACATTCACTGACTCCAAGTAAGCCAGGAAAGGGCTTTATCCACAGACAGACCGCGGTCTGCATCAGAGCTCTACCGCTTACTGTGTGACAGTAGGCAGGTTTCACAATCTCTGACACACTGTGCTCATCTAAACAATTGTCATTATTTGTACTGGTCTCATCCCATTGAGGTTACGTGGATGAAGAGGTTCTGTGAGGACAAAGATCTGAGTGCCTAGAGTATAGTGGATAATGAATGAATTGCTGGTGGATGGACAGGTAGATGGACAGGCAGACAGATGGACTGGTGGCTACTTAGGCAGGTGGGTGATGTGTAACTGGAGAGATGGAGTCTGGACTGGTGAACTGACAGGTGGATGGGGTCTCTGAAGACAGTATCTCCTTACTCAACACAGGCAGTAGAGAACATTCATTTAATGGGATGAAGGAGCCTGAGCAGTGTGACCCAGGCTGACACCCAGGTCCTCACCAAGCCATGAGCCCAGTGGAATCACAAACCAGAGCTACAGTTCACCCAGCAGGGCTAAGTAAGGAGCCACCGAGGAAACAGGCTGAGAAGCCAGCTGCCTGACATGGAGCTGTCAATCACACTGATACAGTACAAGTCAGCCAGTCAGTCGCATGTTCAGATCATCCTGGCGGTTAACTACCTGACCTTATGCTAGTCTCTTCACCACTCTGAGCCCTGGTCCTTCATCAGCGGACAGGAGCCATCTGCCCCTGCCTCACAGGGTCATCGTGAGGATGAAAGACAACACAGGTGGCCTCACTGTCTGCCTTCTCACTGTCTGGCCCAGAGCTGAGAGGTTTTGAATATGAGGGGCTGTCTCTTAGATACCCGGCCTGGCAGCACTCAACCCCTCTGTGCAGCTGGTTGCTTGCACCCGTGTTTTCTGGGGTGAGTTCTCCAGCAGCCTGAGAGCCCTGGGCCTGCAGCCTGCTGGCCAAGAAGCTTCCTTGTCATCTTTGCAGTTTGCCCACATCCATCCACTCCTGCACTCCATGCATGTGGCTTTGGGCCCACCCTGAGCTGGACACTGGAACAGTGAGGTCTCTGTAGAGCCAGAAGTGCCCTTACCTTTAACTCCTGCTAACAGAGAGCAGGTCTTGAGGCTGCCATCAAGTGAAGTAACCACAGCCGTGCATCTGCAGGCCAGGCCCAAGGCTCCTTTGTGCTCTGCCAGTGTGGCCAGGTCACCAAAGCTGTGATTATCCCTGCCTGGTTATAATAGTAATGAGGAAACCCAGCCCCAGAGGGAAGAGACTTGCCTACGCTCTCAGAGTAGCTGGTAAATGGGCGGGACATGACTCTAGCTCTCTCTAACCCTGGGCTCTGGGCCCTGGGCTCTGGGCTCTGGGCTGGCCACCAGTGACCCCCTTGTAATTGTTAGCTTTGACTTTGGAGCTGTGTGTGTGTGTGTGTGTGTGTGCTCACATGTGTGTTCATGTGTATGCATGTACATGAGTGTTTGAATTTACAAAATTGTATGCATGAAGACTTGCGTGCACATGACTGGGATGCACAAGTGTGCTTATACCTGTATGTGCATGAATGTTTACATGTGTGTGTGCATGCTTGCATGTGTGCAGCCGTTAGTGTCTGCTTACATGTGCATGTGTGTGCCTATTCACACATATATACGTCTACAGGTATGTGAGTGTGTGTGAGTATTTGCACGGGTATGACAGCATGTGCATGCATTTACATGTATGTGTAGGACTGTGTGTGCACACATGCACATGCATGACCGTGGTCAGCCTGAGCTCTGAGGGGGCCAGGCCCCAGGCAAGGCTGCCCTCCCCATCCAGGAAGCCTGCTCAGGGGAGCTCCTCACAGAGCCCCACCGTGTCCTGAAGCCTTCCAAGCAGCAGGCTCCCCCGCTTACAGCCCTACGAACCCAAGTGACTGCCCTACTCTGAGTTAAACATCACAGCCTTCATTGGGCATGTGGCATGGGGCCACCTCAGGCAGAGGACGGTGTCCTTTCATGCTGAGCCATGCCAAGGAAGCTGGCTACATGTCAGCTGACTGGTCTTTGTTGAGCCCTCAGAGAGGCTGCTTATCCCAGAGATGCCCCAGAAGGCTGACAGCACAGGCCTCCAAGCAGAAACACCAAAACACAGACCAGGCAGCTGAGGCCCCACCCCCAGCCAAGCCCATTGTGGAGGAGGACCGAAATGCAGGGAAACCTGAGGATTTGCATAATCTGTGTCTCATGCATTATTCATGAGTTACCTCATTCATACACAACACAGAGGCCATGGGGCCTGTGGGCACCACTTCTCCTTCATGGCAAGAGATCTGAAATGGCCCAGCTAAGCCCGCTGCAGGGCCCCCCAAAGAGCTAGAGCCCAAACCTGCGCATTCCTGGGGCTTGCAGTATAGGGAGGGCCAGGAACTGAGGGAGGGTCATGCACTCAGGGTGTCACTCACCCAGCTTCAGAGGCCTCAGGGATCAGAGGCTCCAAGGAGAGAAACTGAGCAGCAATGACAGGGTTCCATCCAGGCCTCTACACCCCCAGCCCCTGTGCACCCACATTTCATCCCTACCGCTGCCATTGCTCTCTGGTCTTCATTCCAAAGTGCACAGTACGGTGTTGCTAACAAGTTGTCATGAGGACAAAAAATATTCTTGCTTGATTCTGTACACAGCTGTCCTAAAGGCTTTCTTTTCTTTTTGATCTTCTTTTATTCCGTGTGTGCGCGTGCACACGCACGTGCATATGTGCACATAAGTACTCAGGCTAGAGCTCTCAGGCAGAGTTTTTTGCTCAAGGCTAGTTCTCAACCACTTCAGCCACTGCTCCACTTCCAGCTTTTTGCTGGTTCATTGGAGATAAAAAGTCTCAGGGAAGCTGGGCACCAGTGGTTCACACCTGTAATCCTAGCTACTCAGGAGGCTGACATCTGAGGATCATGATTCAAAGCCAGACTAGGCAGAAAAACCCATGAAACTCTTTTTTTTGGGGGGGGGGAATCCGGTTGTGGGGCCTGAACTCTGGGCCTGAACGCTGTCCCTCAGCTCTTCAGCTCAAGGCTAGTTCTCTACCACTTGAGCCACAGTGCCACTTCCAGCTTTTTTTCTTTTTGCTTATGTGATGCTGAGGAATTGAACCCAGGGCCTCAGGCATGCAAGGCAAGTGCTCTACCACTGAGCCACCTTCTCAGCCTCCCCATGAAACTCTTATCTCCAATATACCACCAGAAAACCAGAAGTGGCACTGTGGCTCAAGTGGTAGAGCACTCACTGTGAGCTGAAGAGCTCAGAGACAGCGCCCAGGCCCAGAGTTCAAGCCCCAGGACAAAAAAAAAAAAAGAGTCTCATGGACTTTCCTGCCTGGGCTGGCTTTGAACCGCGATGCTCAGATCTCAGCTTCCTGAGTAGCTAGGGTTACAGGAGTAGCTAGGATTATAGGTGTGAACCACTAGTGCCTGGCTTGGTATTTTCATTTTTGTAAAAAAAAAAAAAAAAAAAGGAAGTTAAGGAAGCTAGAACTCTTTTTAAGTTTTTTAAGTTTTACCAGTAATATTTTCTCATGGAGCTTTTACTTTTTCCCATGTCTCCTGTAGAAAATGTTGTCACTTATTCTTTTAAAAAGATTGGAAATAAATAAAAATAAAAAGATTGGATGGGCTGGGAAGGTGGCTCAGTGGTAGAGCGCTTGCTTGCCTTGCATGCATGAGACCCTGGGTTCGATTCCTCAACACCACATAAGCAAAAAGAAAAAAGCTGGAAGTGGTGCTGTGGCTCAAGCGGTAGAGCGCTAGCCTTGAGCTGAAGAGCTGTGGGACAGCGCCCAGACCCAGAATTCAGGCCTCACGACCTGACCCCCCTCCCCAAAAAAAGAGAGATTGGTTAATCCTGGGGGAATCAGAGCCACCCTCCCCTACAGGCGCGCGCACGCGCGCACACACACACACACACACACACACACACAATCAGAATCAAAGTCCTATTTCCATACTGATACTTTGGCTGCATAAAAACTGTCATACCAACTTCAGTGGAAACCTGGAGACTGATCATGCGCAGAGATCCTCCTGGCCCTGGACCTCCTGACCCCGGTGCCCATGTAACCCAGTCCCTAGTGACCAGCCCCATCCATCTTCTTGCTACATCACCAATCATGGTGACTGCATCTCAGAATTCAGAGGGGGCCTTTGGAGCAGAATGAGAAGCCAGTGAATGGCTTTTACCTCCACTGCTCAGGTTTCTCAACAACAGAAGTGGCCACAACAGGACTTTCTGTGGGGCAGCCAAGGGACCCCATACAGGCTGGGCCTGGCACCTGGTGCACACTGTTAGTCCTTTACTCTGGGGAGAGAAAAGCATCCCTACATGGGAGTGGAGGAGGGGGGTCTTCTCTTTTTCAGAACTGCTCATCAGCTGATGAGCCCAACAAACCCTGAGACTTTTCCCCCAGTCCTCCTAAAGCTAGAAGCTCCTTTGTAAATCTCTTTTCCTATTTGGTGAAAACCACTGGGGTGGTGGCCAAGAAAGAGCCGATGCTTTTTGTAAATGGACTCGGATGGGAATTCTCAATAGGAAGTATTTAAATGTGCAAGGGCTTCCCTTTCTCAGGAGGGGACGTGGGAGAATTCTGCTTCCTGTCCATCCAGAGTCCAGCCAAGCCAGTTGAAGCCAGCGGGCTTAGCCACAGCTTTGCCAGGGAGTTGCAGCCAGGCCAGAACCCCCAAGCTTTCCCACTCCTTAACTCCGTAGCTTATGTGCCTCCTTCTTCAAGATGACAGTAAATGTCCTGTCTAAGAGCTGGGTCCAACACCTCCGCACAAATGGGACCCTCCATGCAAGCGCTCAGCCAGCACCCAACACACCCAGCTCAGGGTCGTCCAGATTTTCTTGGGACTAAGGATTCCCTAGATCTTGTTTTCCTGCTGCCACTTTGTGCATTTGACCAAATAGAAATGGGTGAATGTTGAAGAGGGTGGGAGTGTTATGGGGGGCTCAGAAATGCTGTCCTTCAGCACCCACAAGGGAGAAGTACAACGTGGAGGGTGGGCAGCCTATGTCCAGAAGACATTAAAGAAATGAGGCCTCACCCAACCACCCCTTCTTCTGCAAGCAGAGGCCATGGCTCCCAGCACCTCCCAGAAGCCCCTGCGGTTTGCAGTTGGGCCCTGTTAGGGACCTGAGAGGATGAGGAACTAAATGCTCTCTTGTTGCTCACCTGGTATTTTCACTCAGGGACGTTTAGAGGATCGTGAGCAGAAAAATTCAAAAGACTCCACACCTTGCAACTGTCCCTTCAAAGAAAGCGAGAGGCAGGTATGGAGAGGCATTCGGAGCAGGGAGCCAGAAACAAAGTAGAGACAGTCTTTGCCGAGGGTAAGAGCCCCTGGAGTGTGACCACCAATCAGCGCTGCCGCCTGGACACCCCCACACAGCCCCTCCTCCCTCTTCCCTCCCTCCTTCCCCAGCATCAGCACCCCCCCGCCCACACCTGCCTGCAATTTGAACCAATGGCCTAAGAGACAAGCAAGTGTCCAACCTGGAATCTTAGACACTGAATGATTTGGGGGCTTGGAGACAACGTCATGAGGGAATGATTAAAAAGGCGTGGGGGACCCCAGGACCCCCACAGCATGAATCAGGAGGGGGGATGGGTACAAAATGGAGCCCAGAAGGGCATTGAAAATCCCAACTGTATTAACCTACAAATGGGAACCCTTACTGGACTCTGAGCTTCCTGGCAGCCAATGGGAAATGGAGAAGCAACTTGGTTCCCAGTTCATAGAACCCATATAGTACAATGTACGGTATTGTGTAATAGGGCCCCCAGGGCCCCCCTAACAGGGACATCGTGTGACGTGATGAGCCACCTAAGGGTAGCCTTGGAGCAGAAGCAGTATCATGTGAGCCAGGCCACATCTGCGGACAGCTGTTGAGACAGACTGATGTCACCACATCCCATAAGCCCCTGCTGGTGACAGTAGGTCTGAGGGTGTCCGGGCCCTGCTCTGCAGTGCTCAGCTGTTCACTGGGTTCAATCCAGGGCCGGAGTTGGGAGCTGTGATTGAACCAGAGCTCCCTGGGTCCAGAATGGGGGTGGGGGGTTAACCTGGCTAAGGGAGAGAGGGAGGAGAAAGAAGAGGAGGAGTTGGGCTTGAGATTTAGCTCCATGGTAGAGTGCTTGAGTAGCGAGCACAAGCCCTCGGTTTCATCCCCAGCAGAGGGGGAAAACAAGGAAAGTTAAGCCGGGAATGGGTGGCTCATGCCTGTAATCCTAGCTACTTAGGAGGCCGAGATCTGAGGCTCACAGTTCAAAGCCAGCCCGGGCAGGAAAATCTGTGAGACTCTTCACTTAACCACCAGAAAACTGGAAGTGGTGCTGTGTGTGTGGCCCAAAGTGGTAGAGTGCTAGCCTTGAGCAAAAAGAGCTCAGGGATAGCGACCAGGCCCTGAGTTCAAGCCCCATGACTGACACAAACACACACACACAAAGGTTTCAATCCACCACTTTGTAATATCTGGGACTCTGGGTCTTCTGAGCCTGAGCCCTCTAAACTAGGTTGTGATCAATATTGCATGACTCAAAGCCTTCTAAGCAGAAAACACTTTCAGGGTAACTGTCAGTTAAACCCAGGCCAGAAGCCTTTGGGAGGCTGGAAGGCTGGCAAGGGCCAACCCCAGCCCATAGACAACCTGGCTCTCTTCCCCCTCAGATCTAGGGCAAGTCTAGTAGGGCTGACACATTCAGAGAGAAAAGATAAAGCAGGGGACTCAGTTACATTGGAATTTCACAGGTTTATTTTGTGTTTTTTTGTTTTGTTTTGTTTTTGGTTGGTCGTGGGGCTTGAACTCTAGGCCTGGGCACTGTCCCTGAACTTTTCAGCTCAAGGCTCTACCATTTGAGCCACAGCACCACTTCTGGCCTTTTCTGTTTATGTGGTGCTGAGGAACCCAAGGCCTCATGCATGCAAGGCAAGCGCTCTACTGCTGAGCCACCTTCCCAGCCCCACAGGTTTATTTTTATTACCCCTGAAGGGGTTGAACTAGGCCTGGAACCCAGGGCCCTCCACATGCTAGGCAGGCACCGAACCACTGGGCTCCACCTCTGACTCTTGACTGTCAGATAAAGCAGTGGTTAAATAAGTTTAATTTCAGATAAACAAGCTACATCCTAAATGTTGTATGGAACATGCTTATATACCTGCATACACACATACCTACATATGTATATACATGGGTGTATGTGTGTATATACACCCATATGCATGTGTATACAGTGTGTATACATGTATGTATGTATATGCATGTGTGTCTGCCCATATACACGTGTGTGTCTGCACATGTGCGGGTATGTATGTCTGCATGTGTATCTGCTTTCATTCTGAAGTGTGAATGAACTGGGCATGGGCCCCCTGTGTTTTCTCCAGCAACCCTTCACACCAGTTTGGTGCCAAGGTGGGAGAATCTGAGGCTGCTAGGGTCAAACGGCAGCATCCCACCCACCCCCACCCCACAATTGCTCCATTTGGCTCATGGGATGATTTGGGGGTGGGGGTGAGGGTGGGGTTTCCTTCTTAAGGAACATCTTAAAATAGGGCATTTCCACACAATAGACTGGATGTCTGGCTCCTCTGAGAAGCACTGGTGATGGGGACCCTAGCCCACCATCCACAAGCCACCAAGTCCCAGGCCTGTTAGAAGGACATGTCCCCATTTCACCCCCCTTCCCCAGCCTCCTGGGCCAGGACTACCAGGTTGGTGGCCCTGCAGGGAGCTCCAAGCTGTGTGAGCAGATCCGCTTCCCCGTGACCTGCACACCCATAGCCCCATCCGACGCAACGCACAGCGCTGTCCCCAGCTCCTCTGGAGGCCCAGGGTCTCGAGGACCCTGAGGTGAGCAAATGCTATCACATGCAGGGAAACAGCATGCCACAGGCTGGGGGGTGATGGAGACTTCCAAACAGGGTATCTTCACAGCTGCATCATGGGGACTCTTAAGTGGGGGAACATCCCCCCACCACCACCCCATGATACCTGCAGCCTCTGTCCCCTGCCCTGGGAAGCTGTGCTACCAATGGAAAGAGATTTGTCATCCAAGTAGAGAATCATGTCCCACAGAGGAGTCTCAGCCTCGTCCTAGCTGGAATCTAGAGAACTGTTTAAGAATCTGGGCAGGATGGTGGGTTCAGAGGCCTTCAAAGCTGTGCCCTCATAAGCAGGCCTGCCCTGGCCCCTCTCTCCACAATGCCAAACCAGCAGCACTAGAAAGTTGAGTCTGTTTTGCTTTAGTGCAAAAAAAGCAGAGAAGTGCCAGGTGCTGGTGGCTCACGCCTGTAATCCAAGCTACTCTGGAGGCTGAGATCTGAGGATCGCAGTTCAGAGCCAGCCCAGGCAGGAGTCCATGAGACGCTTTTCTCCATTTAACCAGCACAAAAACCTAGAAACAGAGGTGTGGCTCAAGTGGTAGAGAGCCAGCCTTGAGGGAAAATGTACCCAGACCCAGAGTTCAAGCCCCAAGACTGGCACAAAGAGAAAAGGCAGAGCCAGGCACCTATGGCTCATGCCTATAATTCTAGCTACTCAGGAGGCTGAGATCTCAGGATCATGGTTCAACGCCAGCCCTGGTAGGAAAATCTGTGAGACTCTTATCTCCAGTTAACCACCAGAAAACCAGAAGTGACGCTGTGGTTCAAGTGGTAGAGTGCTTGCCTGGAACTGAAGAGCTGAGGGACAGCGCCCAGGCCCAGAGTTCAAGACCCACAACCAAAAAAAAAAAGAAAAGAAAAAAAGAAAAGACAAAGAGGATGAACATGAAATAAATGTGTCAATATTCTTTCTGTATTAAAGAGATACACATTTGTAGAGATGGTGAAGAACAAGATGCAGAACTCGAACTTCCAGGTGAGCCGAGAGAAGGGGGAGACCAGGAAACCAATTGACCCAATCCCATGTCTGCTAGAGACTAACCATGCAGCTCACTGAACCTCCTCCATGCACTGTGATGTTCAGAGACTCATTTGTCCCTGGCCACACAGCAAAGGAGGACTCAGTGAGACCAGTACAGAGCTGACAGCAGGCAAGTGTCATCAAGTCCCAGGCCATAAGCCTGCTACCATTCAGGAGGGATTTCTCTGGAGTTTTAAGGACACATATTCTTTTTTAGAACTAAGCATTGAGAGTATAGGATTTTATTTGGGGGGGGGGAGATGTGCATGTATGTGCACACAGGCATGCATGCTGGTACCAAGGCTTGAACTCAGAGCTTTACGCTAGTGTTTGGCCACCCCTCCACTTCCCAGACTAAGAGATTTTATTAAGGAAGCTGAACTGCTGCCCTTCACAATCCAGTTACCCCAGCCCCACTCCCACCTTGCAGAAAGCAGAAATGAGCTCGTGCAAACTTGGGGGTCATACACATGTCCATTGCATAGGAGCTTGGTGATTCCAAGACAACAGAATCATCCTTGGAGAAGCCAGATAAAATGTTTTAGAAAGCAGAAACTTTCTAGCCAGGCGCTGGTACTTAACTCCTGTAATCCCAGCTACTCTGAAAGCTGAGATCTGGGAATTGAGGTTCAAAGCCAGCCTGGACAAGAAAGTCCATAAGACGCTTTAATTAACCAGCAACAAAAGCTAGAAATGGAACTGTGGTTCAAGTGGTAGAGCACCAATCTTGAGCAAAAAAAAAAAACAACAAACAAACAAAAGTTCAAGGCTCTGAGTTTGAGCCTCAGTACTGGAATAAGGGGGAAAAGGCAGGAGCGCGTAGGAAGGGAGGGAAGGAGGGAGGGAGGAAGCAAAAGCTCCTCCTCAGCTGACACCCATGTCCTTAGACATGTAGAAATGTTGGGTACTGCTCAGAGCAGGGTGTTGGGACTGAGGGCCCCCTAGAGCTGTGACCTTGGCCACTGTGCAAGGTAGGACTGAGGGAGGCTGGTGGCTCACTCCTTCACTCACACAGGAGAGACCAGAGCAGACAATGAATGGTCCCTGCAGCTGGGTGTTGGCTGAGGGCTGCTGCAGAGAAAGATGACTGAGGAGATGGCAGCATGGGCCCCAGATGTTGTCTGGATGTTGTACTTCTCAAAGAGACAAAGGCCAAGGAGCAGGGATAGGTTCTGCCCCACTAGGGACAAGCCAGGGCTTTGAGGTGTGTGATCGAGGTGCACAAAAAGGTTTTCTCTATGCTCGTGGCCAAGTACAGGATCCCCTCTCTAAGGTGTGGGGTCCTCGTGACCTTGGAAGAGATGGGCCATGGAGAATCAGCCCCCTCGGTCCAGGCCAGGCATGAAGGTGGCACACCTCTCCAACGACCTCAGTGACTCTTTTTAAAGCCCTGGGCCTTAAAAATGCCATTGGTCTTGTGTTTGGCTTTTTCATCGTAGTTAAGTCTTGTACAATTGCTATGGGTTGTATGCTAAAGACGGCAAGCTAGGGCTAGGAATGTGGCTTAGTGGTAGAGTGCTATCCTTGAGCAAAAGAAGCTCAGGGACAGTACTAAGCCCTGAGTTCAAGCCTCAGGATTGGCGTGCGCACACGCGCGCGCATACACACACACACACTATGGCAGTCTAGTTTCTAGTCTTAGAGATAATCTCCTAGAGGTTTATTGGATAGCTCATCTAGGCAGGCACTGAGGAGAGAAAAGTGACCAAAAGAGGGCCATCCTGGCCTCGGGGCCTTCAGCAGACCTGTGCTGAAAGCCTGGGATGTGGCAGGTGCTGGCCAGGGTGAGGTCAATCATGTATTGGGAGGAAGGGCGGGGCCAGAATGCCACCAAGCACAAGCAGTGACTCTATGGTTGGGTTTTTTGTTTTTTTGTTTTTGTTTTTTTGGTCAGTTGTGGGGTTTGAACTGTAGGCCTGGGTGCTATCCCTGAGCTCTTTAACTCAAGGCAAGTGCACTGCCACTTGAGCCACAGCACCGCTTCCGAATTTCTGGTGGTTAATTGGAGATAAGAGTCCCATGGACTTTCCTGCCCGGGCTGGCTTTGAACCGTAATCCTCAAATCTCAACCTCCTGAGTAGCTAGGATTACAGGCTCGAGCCACTGGCACCCGGTTTGGCTCTATGTATAAAGCATAGAGAGATGATAGACAGATTATAGATAGATAATGTGGTATGTATACATATTGCACATTTGTGACTTGAAAATCCAAAATGCTCCAAATCAACAAGTTTCTGGTGTCCACACCATGAAACTTTGATTCATGGGCAAAACCAGTAAAACTTTTACATTGAAATGGAACTTAGGCCAAGTACCAGTGGCTCACGCCTGTAATCCTAGCTACTCAGGAGGCTGAGATCTGAGGATCATGGTTCAAAGCCAGCTTGGGGCAGGAAAGTCTGTGAGACTCTTATCTCCAATAAACCATCAGAAAACCAGAAGTGGCTCTGTGGCTCAAGTGGTAGAGTGCTCGCCTTGAGCTGAAGAGCAGAGGGACAGAGCCCAGGCCCAGAGTTCAAGTCCCACAATGGACAAAGAAGAAAATGGAATTTAGGCTACAGGCATAAGGCATATATAAAACACAAAGGAATTTTATGTACAGACTTGGGCCCCTCCCCCATGGTATCTCAGAGAGAGAGAGAGATCTCATTTTATATATATGCTAATATCTCAAACGCAGAGAAAATCTTAAAATCTGAAACACTCTGGTCCCAAACATTGTAAGGGTTACTCAACTTGTGTGCACACATGCATGCACACACATGCAGTTACACACTGCATACTTATACAGTCGCTTGCATACACCCGTGTGCCTGCATGCACACACAAGTATATCTGTGCAGTTGCCTTTGTGCACACATATACACACAATTACCTGTATGCATGCCTGCGTGCACATGTGCCTACATGCATGCACAAATACACACATGTACAAATCTGAAATGTTACATTTATAGAAATGGAAAGGATTAAGAAAAAAAATGAGAAAAACCCAGGCAGGGAAGTCCGTGAGACTCTTTTCTCCAATTAACCACCAGAAAAAACTGGAAGTGGCACTGTAGATCAAAGTGGTAGAGCGCTAGCCTTGAGAGGAAGAGCTCAGGGACAACACCCAGACTCTTCAACAAAAAAAGAAAGAAAGAAAGAAAAAATGAGGACATACTACCCCTGCCTTCCTGGCCTAGTCTCAGAAGTAAATAAAAAACCTAATAATTACTTTGGGCAGAGCTCAGAGGGTAGAGGACAAAGGTCCGCAGGCAGAGTCCCAGAATTTACCTCCTGAGGCCCCTCCCAGTCCAGAGCCCAGAGCCCTCGGGAGGAAGGTGTGTATCATGTAGGAGTGGCCTGGGACCTGCCACTGCCTGACACACCTGGGTATCACCATGGAAACAACTGGCCTCTGTCCCTTAAGGTGTGGCTTTTGGGCGACCCAACCCTCCCTGCCAACACTGGCAGGTTCACACCCCCCAGCCATGGCCTCTCCCTGGGTCAGTCACCCGACTGCCTTCTGCTGCCCTTGCAGAAGCTGCGGCATGAGAACCAAAAGCCCGTCCTGCCCCACGCCCCTGGCTGGCCTGGGCTTCTATTTTTTCAGCAACTTTCTAGCTCCTGCCCTGCACCAAGGCAATGGTTTCTGGGAATCTTCACAAGCAGCAACTTCACTAACACATCAAACAGCAGGAAGGAAAGGCCATATGGAGGGGAGGTTTGGGCTGCGTGGTCTTTCTCGCCAGGCATTTGGACCATATTTATTTAGTGACTGCAGTGATCTGAGCCTCCCCTCTCTCACCCCAAAACAGTGAACAAAGCAGGCTCTCAACACACATTCAAGCCAGGGGAACTGTGTGGCTCACACCTGTAATTCTACCTGCTCAGGAGGCTGCAATCTGAGGATCACAGTTCAAAGCCAGTGAGCCAGCAGAAAGCTGCAAATGGAGGGGTGTGGTTCAAATAGCAGAGTGCCAGCCTTGAGTGAAAAAGCCAAGCAAAAGCACAAGGCCCTGGGGCTGGGAAGGTGGCTCAATGGTAGAGCACTTGCCTTGCATGCCTGAGGCCCTGGGTTCGATTCCCCAGCACCACATAAGCAAAAAGAAAAAAAGCCGGAAGTGGCGCTATGGCTCTAGTGGTAGAGCGCTAGCCTTGAGCTGAAGAGCTGAGGGACAGCGCCCAGGCCCAGAGTTCAGGCCCCATGACTGGACCCAAAAAAAAAAACAAAAAACACAAGGCCCTGAATTCAAGCTACAGTATACTCACACACATGCACACACACACACACACACACACACACACACACACACACACACATCAGATCTATGATAAAGAGGGAGATGATTCACTGTGTTTGGGGTGTGCCTTTTTAGGTAGAGAGATGTTAAGTTCCCTTTGAACATCACCATATTTCATGGTTTTCAAAACAGGAGCTTTGGCCAGGTGCACATTCATTGTGATAGAATTGCCCCTGTCACTGAATTGAAGGTGGCTTATGTCCTCTGTGTGTATGTATGTGTGTATGTATGTATGTATGTGTTTGTATGTGCAACATTTTATTTTGGGTACAATGCACATAACATGTTATAACCTCACTGCAATTACAGAGTTTGTGTATTTGTCCCTCTTGCTTATTGAAGGTTGGAATCAAAAAACCCACACCAAAGATGGACCAAGAAAGAGAGATAAAGAAAGATACACCCAATATACCTGGCCAGAAACTTTTGCTCTTTAAGCCTGGTGGAAGGAACTAGAGAAAACATCACCCACCTGGTCTCTCCTGATCCTTCCATGAGTCAATCTGACTCCCATGTCAAAATGCAAAGGCTCTTTCGTAGGACTTTACAGTGTCTGCTTTCTGGCATTCTGAACTTTGTGTGTTTTGGAATAAGCGAGAAAACATTTTTTTAAAATACCTATTAATCTATACGAACTCGGGTATATCAAGAAAATGTTCATAGCCCAGACTTGTACCTAGCAGTGACGATGTACTTTGTGTTTGGGTCATGTTAGACCACAGTTGAGAAAGCCCAAGACTTCACACAGGA